CTATGAACTTGGGGATGTGCTCATGAATGGCATCTGTCTGTGGGAAAGCAGAGTGCCCAAAAAAAGCAGAGAGAAGAAACCTTTCACCTACTTCTCACACAATCAATACACCAGCAAATGATGTTTTGTGACATTAATTCTGGCACTGAAAGCACTCTGGGACCCAAATCAAGACCAACAAGGTTCAAATTCCAGGGGAACTGAGCAGCTCTATGAGATAACTGAGGGTCAGAGTCCACTGGGATTATTCCCACCCAAATGAAAGCCCACCCACAGCAGAATAGCCAGTGTGGTCGCTCTCTGGAAGAGCGAGTGCCTGAGTGTTGCCCCCAGCTATCTTATCAGGAGCTTTTTGAAAAGAAGTCCAGCAAACACCGTGTGATCTGATATGACAGAGGGCAAGGGACCTGTCTGGGAAGTCGTCATGACAGCAAGGGCAAACCAACCATTTCGGGAATGGAGAAAGATTCCCATGCAGCCAAGGGGAGGTGAAGGACAGAAAGCAGTCCACTTCAGGCTGCTCTGAGCCTCTCCTGCTGTTTTAATAGCAGCTAAACTGCTAAAAGTTGGTAGAGAGACTTATTCAAGAACTTCCTGCTGCCATTAGGTATTTTCTACTGCCTGGTTTAACATATCCTTCACTGAGGTTTCCACAGCAGCGAATCTTGCAGGATCGCAGGATACGCACCCCAAGTCTGCTGTATAAATACAACATTGTTTAATGAGGCTGCAATGTCCTTTCTTGTATTGAGAACGACCTTTACAAATTCATTTTTCAGAAGAAAATCTGTACTGAAGCACTGGTGTGATCTGTTTACCCTTGGCTTGCTCAGGATAGTGCAGTGCAACCTCATGGAACATTAATTTCCTCACCGCATTTCTAATGCCTAGCAGGCCTAATGAAAATGCCCTGGGGAAGACAAAAAGGAAAGAAAAGAAAAGAAAAGAAAAGAGAAACAAGCTTTATCAGCAGTCCCAGGGACAAAACTTGCTCAGCACAGTGCAGAAAATCTTCCCAGGAGGAAACAGCAGCAAAACCAGGAGTGGAGCAAGCCCTTCCTAGCTCTGCCCCAGAGCCACACACATCTGCCTGCCAGTGGCACACCGAGATGGCCTCCAGCAGCCCACCTGCTTGCTCCTCTCCTGAACATCCCTCCTCTCATCCACGCTCTCCTGCACACATTCACATGCTTTTTTCTGGAAACCATGACCAGTCCCCTATAACCTTCTTATTTGACTCTTTCAGGGTCATTTCTGCTGCAGCATCACCACATAATTAGCCAATTAGGACAGCTAATTAGTCATCATACCCCAAAAGACTAACCTCCCGCCCTCTTCACTGCCTCATGCTGCACATTGGCCCTTGCTGAGCAAGCAGCACATGTGGGTGGAGACCCAATGCTCCCCTTGGTCCTGCTCCCTTCTGCCCCTCGTAAGGGCAGGACTTCGCAGAGTAACCTTGATGTGGCCAAGTAGCGGTTCTGCTGTAGGGCTTCAGAATGAGGTTCTACACACAGTATCCCAGGCAGCTTCCCAAGGACACTCCTCACCCTTCTGCATTGTCCCCAGCTCAGGACAAAGGGACAAACAGGAACTGTCCTCTCAAAACCACTGGTACAGCATGACAGGGATTAGGACACCAGAGGCTTCCCAGGCTCTTCAGCCTTTCCTCAGAGCTAAGCAGCCAGCTAGAGGAACCACCCATATCTGCCTGAAAGGCATCTTCCAGAACCTGGCATGTAGCTGGAATAAAGGTTGAGGGATAAGAGAAAGTTCACTCTTTTCACTCCTAGCCCACCTGGCTCTGTTCTGGGAGCTGACAGCATGTGAACCCCCCAAACTTGCACTCACTGCTCCCCATGCTAAAGCACAAGCTCTCAGTGGAGCACTTCAGCATTACTGGAAGAACCAGGCATGTGATGTCACCCAGATGCTCTCCAGGTCAAGCAGTTTCCTAGTGAAACTCTACAAAAACATTCAGCCTTTTTCAATTTCTGGGCTCTACAGTGCCTCTCCATGATTTAAGTGTTCTCCCAAATTAGTGACTTTGCACAGGCAGTTTATTCAATCACAGTTAGCCAGTTATCACTGCAGCATCTCCAGCTGGCCCATCTCTAGTTTTAAAGCGGGCCCCCATCCTCCTCCTCTCTCTCCTGGGAGAGCTGCACGGAAATCTGTCCCCCTGCTGTTCTAACAGTCCTGGAGATTAAACGATAACTCCTCTTCAAAACCATTTATGCAATGGTTCCTAGAGCTTGCCACCAAACAAAGTGGGGTCACGGGCAGGAAACATCATCTCAGTTGTCACTTGACGGAGGCAAAACCAATTACCTGCACGTGCAAGACACACACACGCACAGAGGGAAGATGACTCGAACACCAGTCCTGCAGCTGATGGTGGCCAGCTCTGCAACTGTTCAAGTCATTTCACACCCCTTTCTCCTCCCACTCTGTCTGCCTCCTCTACTCAGGCTGTTGGCAACATGCAGCAGGAGGTCTTGGGGCAGGCTGCCCGACCCCTGGTGCCGGCCTGAGGCAGCTCAAACACACCAGCAGCAGGAACAAGCGGAGCTGGAACCACCTCGGCAAACTACGGATGAGGAAGGGTGCTTTGTGCTGCTGGTGAGGGAGGGACGAGGACAGGACACTGCTAGAAGACTCCTAAGCACGTCAACATGCTCCCACCATTCAGCAGTTTGCTATTGCCTCATACCCAAACTTTGATAAGCACCAAACACCTCGGAGGTCAGGCAGACCTATTTACGTGAAGTCAACCATGCGTGCTCAGCTGACAAGGGAATAAATAGAAGCTACTCTTTGCCCCTATAAGCAAAGAAAGTGCTGGGGAAATGCCAAAGTCATTCAAGAGAATCAAGGAGCAATTAATTGGGTCACAGTGACTGCAATATATGTACTTATCTTAAATCCCTACCTCATGCCCTCTGTCTTGCACAGGACATGATTCACTGTCTGCTTCTGAGAATGACCCAGACTCATCGCTGGAGTTTGTTCCATAGGATGGCTCACATTTAATCTGGGCTCGCACTGGGTTGTACAATCCATCCCCCACCACACCAGGCTCCTGGTGCTCGGGCGCCAGGAACCGGGGGCCTTGGGAGCACGGGGAAGAGGAGAGCTCGCAAAGACGCAGACTGCAGGGAGAGCCGCCGCTGCCGTCCTCTGCGTACGAGTAGGAAGAGCACGAGCTGGAGGTCCTGGTTCTGGTTTCCAAAGGAGGAGAGCGAGGGCAAACTTTAATTGGCACCGGGCAGCTGGTGTTTGGCCGCATCCTTCCCGGCAAGTGATCAGCTGTCAGTCCGCTGTGCGAGTAGGTTTGAGAGCTGGGGAGAGACTGGCTGCTGCCAGCCCACAGACCCTTTGGCACAGTCTCAGTGAGGTCTTTGTCCAAGCTGCTCACACCAGAATATGAATGCACCGAAGTGTTTACTTGGTCACAAGCATTTGAAGAGAATATAACACTCCTCCTGTCCAGTTCCCCTTCTTGCTTACAGAGCGTTTCAAAGCCGGGCCCCCTGAGCGGCGATCCCACTGTGAAGTTGGAAGCATCCTTCTGCATGGCATGGGACTGTCCATAGTTCCCTGTGAAAGGGACGTAATCAGTTTTGTGGTCACCCTGAGTTGTCCCTTTTTCAAAAGGGCATGCTGGACTCCTGCCAAAGTGCTGTTGGGAAGTGCTGGGGAAGCCAACCAAATCTATGCTTTTTGTTCTGTTGAAGAAAGACCGCAAGCAAGAAGGAGAGGACCCACTTTTTGGCCTGTCGACACAAGTGGGGCTTGGCTGTTTCCTGTCCATTTCAATATCCCCTTCTTTATCCCTGATGTCAGGTTCATCTCCAGACAGGCAAAGTGTGATGCTTTCTTCATCGTTCTCTTCATTCTGAGGCTCGCTTTTTATCTGCCCCATAGCAAGTCCTGATTTGAGGCCATTTCCAGAGCTCTCTTCGCTGAATGTGCTTGCAAAACCTGAGGTACTGATGTGTGATGTGTTGTAGACATTCTTGGTACAAGCAAGCTGGTATTTCTTGTATCTGGGGTACCGTGTTACTGCATCTTTGTCCATATTGTCCTTGCTGTCTCTCAGCATGTCAGAATCAGGCAGCATCCCTTCGCCTTTGTCTGCTCCAGCAACAGTGGTTTCAAAATTGAAGGGCTCTTGGTGCATTCTCTCTCTGGGGCAAGATATTTTTGACGTCTCCGATTCCATCGTCTCCTCCTCATCTCCATCCGAGTTCTCCTCATCGTGCATGCGCTGACAGGCGGTATCTTTTTTGCACAGGAACAGGCCATCTTCATTGTTCAGCAGCTGTGTCTGAAGGAAGCTGAAGCAGGAGTCCTCCAGGTTGTGCATGCGCAGGAATTCAGCGCAGTGGATGACCTCCTGGATGTTTTCTCTGCTGAGTAACAGCTTAGCAGTGTAGGCAAACTGTAACAATGGACCAAATCCCCTGACAGTGACCTGCAAAAAACCAGAGGGAAATTGGCAGCGTTACCATCAGCTCTTGCTATCATCACAAGTCCTCCATCACGTAGTCAGATAACCTAACAGACCTAGTGTCCAGAAATAAGCACTGCTCAGTACCACTTATTAATCTACCAGGTCAGCAGTGATGCTACATCTGGTAAGTAGCACTGCTCCCTTTACGTTGCTTCTGCATATCATTGTACAGGTTGAGCTGAGCATTATTTTTCCCAAGTGTCTTGAAGACCTACGAACTAAGCCTCTGTTGTAACAGAAGACTGAAAAAACAGGCTGGTGTGGATGCTGCTAATTCTTGGATGGATCTTACTTTAAACTATGATGCAACCCACCACTTTGAAAGCACCAATCCAAATTTGATTCTTCTGCCCTGATGGAAGCCATGGTGAACACTGGTTTCAAGTTTAAGATAATCCTTAAATACCAAAAGTGTTTTGGGAAGGAAACATTTAATATTATAGGAAAATTAAACAGAAAATATCTTTCTGCCTCTTTCAAGAGCAAACTGGTTTCTTTTTTTCCTCTCAATTTTTTTTTTGCAAGCCATTGCTGAATAAGTAATAGGTAAGTACTGACTGCACAGCTCTTTTCTCCATCCCATGGAGATTATTCTCCTCATACTGTTTCTGATTTTAGTGAGTTTAAGGTACAGCTACTAGGAAAGAAATCCATCTTCATAGTTTAAGAGATACAAACTGCTCCGAGTCCTACCTCAGTACTTAATTTTCCACCATTTTCTTTGTAGAAAGAGTAGCAACTGTTTACAGGAGAGTGATCTCCAACCAACTGTTCCAGATCTGAGTTACTCATCCTTTTTTTTTCTCATTGTACCATCTATATTTTACATTGACACATCATATATTTAAAAATACACACTTTTCTTGACCCAGATTTTCTACAGTGGTATCTTCACACACAACTATCAAATAACTTGCTAAGCCATGTGGTAAACTATAGATATTGCCTATTTTTTTGACCAAAAATGCACTGGCACCAACTTCTGTTGCATTTTTTCCCCAGTGAGCAGGAAATAAAGGTACTGGAAAAACTCTATATTCTTCATGAAGCAGCAAGAGGCTTCTTCAAAACCAGGGCTCACCATCAAGGATAAAGGTTTCTCCATGAGAAAGAGATTCAGTGGTTTGGCCACTAAGTTAAGATTTGGGAGAGCACAACTCAATTCCCCTTCCCTCCAACCACCTTCTACATGCCCCTAGCAAGTCACTTCAGTCTCAGTCCACCAAGACACCTTCTTGCCTTGCTTGCAAGTGGCATTCACAAATCTGAGTTCCCTGTGCTTTGCATACCAAGGAAAAGCATCTAGATGGGATTCAGAGCCATCAAACACCTGCACGCCTATGTGAGGTTGGGATGCGCAGCCTGCAACGTCCTTCTGGCTGTAGGTGTCTCTGGTAGGTGTTCCCAGCTCTGTTTCTTCTTTTAAAACAAACCAGAAGAGGAAGCACTGCTGTCCCCTTTTTGTAAAACAGCCCCACCTACAGAAGAGAGACCTAGAAAGTAGGAGACCAAGTCCCTTCCCAGGCTGTGGGGATTCAAACTCACATTTCCCAGCTCCTCAGAACGATATCCTGTCCAGCAGGTATGGGATACCCTGAAAGTGAACTGCTTTTCCCTGTCCTTCCAATTGAGTTAATGCTACTGAGCAAGAAGCTGCACAAGAGGTTGGTGAGACATCAGGCCATGAATATGTGATGGTCTTATTCGTGACTAGCAAAAACCTGAGTGAATAATTTGTTTCATCCCGATTAAAAGCCTATAAATGCCCTTCGTTGCCTCAGGACCAGTGGTAGAGCTCAGAGATTTTTATAGAAAATCCTGACTTCCAGAAGCAAGCCTTTGTTATTCATAGATCTGCACTTGTGATGCTGGATTATGAAGATAGCACAAGTGGTGCAGACTTTGATGGTGAGAAAAATATTTTAAAACACCTCTAAAATTGCTCCCAATAGCTCTTCCATACATAATACTGATGCTGCTGTATCTGCTATTTTAAGAAACAGCACGTTTTCATGCACATACTTACACACTTGGACGTTCCTGTTTTACAATACGCCCCTGGTAGAGAATTGCCTAGATTTACAGCTGGCTATTAAACTGATCTCTGCTTTATCAGTGTTACACTTTCTGCCTATTTGTTAGATTATCAGCTCACTAAAGGCCTATCTGCATTTTATCTATGCAGCATGATTAACAAAATTGCTCAAGAACTTAATGAGCTACTTGCAGGCTGATGTTTCTCTTTGATAAGATCTTCAGTGTGGGGGCTTACACACTGCTACACATCTTGTAAGCTCTGCAGCAGCGTAGGTCCGTAGGAGCAGCCATAAATACCATTTGGGGTTTCTGGGTCCCTTTTGAAGAGAAGGGACTCTGGAGCACGAACCCAGATCTCCTGGCAGTTGTGTCACTTGGCCACTAGGTGGAATGACTGGAAAGAAAATTATTTTCCGTGCTGGGCCAGGGTTTCACCTGCCTGTCCGCCGCCCCAGCGCAAGCAGGCTCCAGAGCCTCGGGCTGACTCACACCACCCCACAGCAAGGCCCTCTCCCATGCTGACTCAGGCTTTTGCTCCCAATAAACCACCGTGATAACAAACAGCACCAAGACAGCTGTTACAGCTGTTCTGTGCTGGATGTGTCAAAAGCAGAGCCTGGGACTGCGCCGTGGGCTCCCCAGGATGCCCGGCAGATGCCTCAATTGAAGGATGATGAAAACGCTGGTCAAATGTGTGCCTTAACCTCCCTACAAGGTCTTACCTGGTGACACACCTTTCCTCACTCTTACCATCTTCAGATCTAGAGGGGAAAGTTTATTTTCAAGCATCCAGTGATTGTCATTGCCCTCAGGGAGGAATCTCTCAAGTGCCAATGCTTGAAACTGCACAAACCATAACTTCGTTATCAATGGATGCAGAGCCTGCTGCCAAGTGTGAAAGCCAGTGCATCTCTGTTGCCTGAAGCTGTCTAAATATTGATTCGACCCCCATGGCAGGTCCCCTGCCTCAGCCCCACCAGCTTTGGGACCGCCTGCATCTGATGCATTCTGGCAGGAAGGCTGGAATCGAGGCACTGGAGCGTGGCTGTGAGCACCGCACATCATGAAAGAAAGGGCTTCAAAGCTGCGTGTGTTACCATCACACGCGCATTTCTGTAGGAAGAGGTAAGAACAGTATTCTAAAATTATTTGACCTGACTGATGCATCCCAGTGAAAACAGTGAAACCTAGTTGGTGTTTGCAGAAGGAAACCAATCATTTCTCTGATGTAACAGTCTCTGTTTACACGTGAGAGAGATCATTGCTGGATGGGTAAAAGACGTGCCAGCAACAATCTCAGTTTATTTTTTCCCTTACTGTAAATAAGATGCCATATGTCTAAAATTTGTTTGCTTTTAAACTGTATTTTCCAGGTAAATTAGCATTTAAGCAGGCAGGTTAATTTGTGGGAACCTCCAACTGGGAACCTTGTTCAAGCTTATATGCCAAGTCCCTGCTTCCCTGCCCTCCGCTCATTTGCCTTATTCCAGTTTCTACTCATTTTTACTGTTTAAATAGAATTGACTGGCTACAAGCAAACCAGGGAGAGAAAAAGTAAAATGTACACACAAAACAACAATGCCCACACAGACAAGAAAAGCAAAGATCTCAGCTTCTTGGAGGGTTGCTTTCACTTATCTTTCAAGGCAAGCCAGGAGAGGACTTCTCTTGTGTACCTGAAACATGCCAAACACCCCACCAAGTCTAAGGATGAATCACTTTATTTTGTCTTGCTCCTGTCCCCAGCTGGTCTTGTATGCCTTCAAACCCTCCTGCACACCTCCTGCATAGAGGACACGGATACTACAGCCCTGCCTAAGCCATCCAGAACATCTTCTTGCTCTAGAGCAACCCAAGAGATCAAGCAGCAGGTGTTCATGTGCAGCTCCTGTCTCTGCCGTGCTGCCACAGGTACACCACACTCAGCATGCGTGGAGGTCTACGTCAATTCAGTGTTGTGGTGGCAACAAGCCTGACTACTGCTAAGGTGATAGCAAAAAAGTCCTCCAGCCCTGTATCTGCTGCTTGTCTTTCAGATTGAGCTACCCAAGCCAGGGGATGTGTTTTGTATGTCCATGCCCTCATGAGTTTATGATGGTGAGGAAGAGGCTGGAAATAATGCAATGATATAATCACCGTCAAGAGAGCTGTTAATCAGCATTAGCCATATTGAATTTACCAGCAAAACACAGACAGCAACCCTGCAGAAAATAAACATGTGAAATCTATTTTAGTTCAGTCGGCACTGCTCTTCTCCTCACAGAGTCCTGTGGAGTGTGATGCTCTGGTTAGTTTTAATTGATTTAAGTGACCAGACTTTCACTACTTCCTTTGGGAGATCATTGCCAGACTCTACTTAAAACCTCCCTGCGAGGAAATCTTCCTTCCCTTATTTTCCTCCATCACCTCTCACTGTATTTCCTCAATGCATTCCGGGCAATGCTTCTTCCTTCTGGAGAAATAGTTGTATTATCGTTACGCTCTCTGCCTTCCCTTCTTCTTTGGCTGGAATTATATCATTAATGAAAAACTGGCTAATTCAAGGAAAATACCATTGATCACTGTCAGATGGGAGTGTAAGAAGCTGAGATGGGAGTCAGCAATGAGAAACGCTAGTAAAGGCGGCGGCATGACAGAAGCAAACACAGAGTGTTTTTAGCACAGCACTTTTCTAGCATTGGCCACGCACTCTTCTAAAATTAGGAGGAGGGTTAGCTCAGTTCCACGTTAGGAACATTGCATTTTTATAAGGGACTTCTAGGGCAGAAGTTCTATTTTAATTGCAGTTGTACACACACCTACAGGCGGCAGGGGAGACAGAGCACTGTGGGTGAACTCTCTCTGGCTCCCCATTGTATCGGGTTTCCTCCATGACGGCCGATTGAGCATACCGTGGAGGCCCCCGCGTTGTTTTGAACACACGG